GACAGCTGTATGCGTGGGCAGGAAGCTGGCTTGGGGAGGTTCGATGCACAGGGATCTCAGGGTCCAAAAGACGTTTTCTCCTCTCCTGGCTCTTCTCTCTTGCTGGTAGGGAACTTCCCACTTCCTGCTTCAGCCAGGACTCATCCACACAGCAAGACAGCGATCACGGTGAACCCCACGAACCCAAGGTGACGACCAGTCCCGTTTTAAAAAAGTCCCGATTTTTGAAAAGAATGCATGACAAGATAGGGAACGATCTATGTGGTCCATATAGACCAAATTTTTCAACAAGAACCTCCCCTGCTTCCCCTCCCTCCTCGTCAGTGGTGTCCCGCTTTAAATCTGGTCATCTTACACTAACCTCCCCTCACAACTGAATCCGCCCAGTGTCTTCTCCCCCCGTCTCTTACCCAGACTCATCAGGAAAGGGTCCTCAGAAGAGCCACATTAAATAGTTCACTGCCCTGCGCCAAAGCCCACCCCATCTCCAAATCCCCTACTCAGACCAGTCTCTGCACTCCGAGAAGGAGAAAGAATGGAAAGGCATACACTGTATGTATATACTTGTGTATAAGCTGAGTTTTCCAGCATATTTTTAATGCAGTTTTTGTGGTAAAATTAGGTGCCTCAGCTGATGTTCATGTAGCTTATCCTCGAGTATATATGATTGTGTGTGTGTGTGTGTATGTGTGTAGTGGGGCAACTCCACCCAGGAGGAAACATCAGGAGTAAAGCAAAAGCCCTCTCCACTCCCTCCCCTTACCTAGACCGGGAGTTCAAGAGCAAGACTGCAGTGGTGAAATGAATATGTGCATCCCCGCCCGATGATTGGGTTGGGTCCAAATGCCAAACCGAGAGGAGGGGATGTTGGAAACGGAAAGATGAAGTGGGTAGAGTTAGACGGGGCAGCCCTGGAACAAACCCTGGGTGACAGCAGGTTTAGTCCTCGAGGTGTATGCCGTCTGCACACTCCGTGCACGTGCTGTGTTGCAGGTAGAGCGATTCTGGCTGCAGAGCAACGCGGTGGTGGCCGTCCTGGCTGGCGTCGGCTTGGCCGCACTTGTGTCTGAGAGTCAGCGTGTGCTGAAGAACAGCCTGGGACTGCGGTGCCTGGAGTGGCTTTCTGCCGCGATGTTTGTGACTCACCAAATCTACGCTAACTACAGGTGACGCATGACCCTTTTCATGAAACGCAACCCTCAGGCCAGAGGTGGGCGGCACTAGAGGCCAGGATTTTGTTTCGTCTTTAGCTACCACAGATTTTTTGAAGACCCACAGTGAGAGAGCTTGGTCTGAGGGCAGCGATTCTTAAACTCTCTGGGGTTGCTACCCCTGAACCAGACTGTCAACGGGTGATGGGCAGTTTCAGGCCATTCCCAAGAATTTGGGCGCTGCCTGGGCTCTGCACCCTAGAGATGCCAGGCTCTATGTCAGATGCCACTTAGACAGGGTGTAAAGATGTTAGAGGTTTTCCGTATGTCGCGAAAATGATCCCCTTCATTCGTTTAGTGGTTTCGCCTTTTGACTAATAACCCAGCTCTGATCCAGTTAGCCTCTCGAAGTGCATATTTATTTCTAAGTAAAGTTCTAGAAATCTCTTAACCTTTATGCATCATTAATACAGACGGATTTCCATTGTTGGCTTCCATAGCCTTGACACTGACAATTGCCACCTTAACACAAGAGATGTCCGAGTTGCCATTGAAAATTTGTTTCTATCTTGCAGTATTGGGTAATCATTACAGCAGTGGAGAGGCCTTTGAAGTTTAAACTCATACTAAGGTGGGGTTTTGGGGGGTTTGTTTTTTTTGAAGTATGAAATTCACACAGTCGTCTTCACACTTAAAAGTGTGAAGCATTTAATCCTTCTAGGGTGAGAGCCAGCACTTCCCCTAGAGGCCTTGTGGTCCGGAATGCGGACCCAGAAGGGATCACTGTGTCCACAGTGGTTTTCCCAGACTTTAATTTTTCCCCCTCCAATCCCAGTTGTCTCCTGAGGCCTCCGGTCTGTACAGCACTTTCACGTTCTCTGACACTTGCACAGGCCGGGGTTTGGTTGTTCGGATTGATTTGTTTTGTTTTTTTAACTTGCCTCTGAGGATGGGAGAGAGCATCTTGCTGGGGTGGCTGAGACACGAGGCATCAGACTGCAGAGCGGGGACTCACCGAGAGAGGCGCTAAGGGTCGCCTCCGTCAGGAGCTTGCTCCTGGAGGTGTTTGTTTGCATGCGATACTAACCCAGGCATTCAGCCGAAGGCTCTGCGTCTGGACTCTGTTGAATGGACTGGACCTGGTGATGGCGGGAAAGAGATGGGTTGTCCTTTCTTTTTCTTTTTTTTTGAATGCTTTTCCTCTGTTAAATAATCTGTTTTCCTTTTTTCATGGGAAGCTCTTAGAACCCGTGCCAGTTTGTCTTCAAAGGGAGAAAGGCCCCTTCGTTATTCGAAGGAGCTGGACAGCTGTTGCTTGAAGGTGCAACCAGTGCAACTAGTGCCTGCGCTCTTGCTCCTCGGGGCCTCCTCCCCAGGGACTCCGAGTCTGCCTGCCGCTCAGGGGTGCTGGGAAGGGCCACCCTCTGGAGGCCGGAGTCACGCTAACACTGAACTGCTGTCGGAAATTGCTAGGTTTCCTTTGGCATTTCCAAAAAGCCCTTTTGGATAAATCGGATGACCTTATTTTTACTTGCAAAAACGAAACACTGTGTTAGTCGGGGTAGACTAGAGAAACAAATTCAAAGACACTCATGTGTGTGTAAGAAAGAGCTTTATATACAAGAGCAGTTGAATATTGAGAAAACATCCCAGCCCAATCCAGATCAAACCCAAAACTCTGATATTAGCCCATGTGCCTGATACCAACCTATAAAGTCCTCTTCAGACTCATGCAACACATGTAGTGATGCCAAATGCAGGACACTCCCAGGCCAGTGGGTGGAAAGCCTTGTGGACCCAGCTGTGGTAGAAGCATCTCAGCACTGGCAGGGGTCTCTATGTGGCTCCTCCACCTCAGGGCATCAGTGTAGCTCCATGTGTCTTGTTAGCAGGCATGCCTCGCAGGGAATGAGCATGTGTCTCACCTCCAGTGAGCTATTTATCTCCTTAGCCTCCAAATGAGGTCATCAAGCTGCGACCTGATTGACAGGCTAAACTCCACCCCTTCACTCATAAGTCAAATTGAACAGATTATGTAACTACCACAAGCACCACAGACATCCTCTACTTTTTTGCCAACCACACAACTCTTCTCCCCGCATGTAATTTTTATAAGTGCACCACACCAATCCCATGGGCAATCTATGTGGGCGCATTATATGGGTGGGTGCACTCCTCATGTGGGCACACTATTTGAGAGATGGGCAATCATGTGGCATTACTCGAAAATCCAAGTGCAACCGGATACCTGACTTTTCAAATGAACGTACATATATGTTTAGAGGGGAGAAAAAGGCCAGTTTTCTCAGCAATGCCTTTTGGGTGGAAAAAACCCCATGAATCCATGAGTCAAGGCGTCGCCTGAGTCTTTAACAGTGCACTCCTAGTTTTCCTCAGATGCCAGGGTCTCTTTCCCAAGACATGCATCCCGTCAAGGAGCTAGTCTAGGCGCTGGGGAATAGCCGGTGTAGACGGCCCGGGCCAGGGCAGCTGGTCTGATGAAGCTGTCGCCAAGCGTTGCTCTCCTCATGCCTTTGCATTCTTTCCTTTCAGCATCTGCAACCAAAGGACCAACTATGTGGTTGATACATTTGCAAAGAACCTTCTAGCCTCTATGCCACAGGATGCAATTATCTTACTCAGAGGAGATTTGCCAGGGAACTCTCTCCGTTACATGCACTACTGCGAGGGGCTGAGACCCGATATTTCACTAGTAGATCAGGAAGTAAGTATATGAAGCACACACTTGGAATATATAGTCATTGAAAGCCCCGTTCTCTGTTCTCTAAAAGAAAAAGAACTATTTTGTTTTCAACAGTGCATGCATGGGTAGATTTCACGATCATACTTACATAGGATATAGTAGATCACATTCTTTTGTGTATTGTAACTCGTAAGTCATATGAGTCTTGGGTAGGGTTTTTTTTTTTTTCATTTTCACTGAATATTGTAAGAATGTTTGATACTGGATTAGAATAATGCTCTGGAAGTCTCTGGTTCGTGTATAGATGGGAAGGTGGCACAAATGGCTTGCATTCGACAGCTAATTTAAAGTCTGGCAGTTCAAAGCCACCCGGACGTCCCACAGAAGAAAGGCCTGGCAATGTGCAGCATGTGAGGATGTCGTGGGCCAGAACAGAACCAGCTTGCCGCCACTAGCAGCAGCAGCTAGTCCATACGGCATGCCAGGGGAACCGTGATTGTAATGGGAGTTTCTTTTTAAATGGTTCTTTTGCATTCAGTCTGCTCAGCCATTCAAACAAACACTGCCCCCTGGTCCGGGAATTGATTAGATTAGACCGAGAAGAAATCACACTTAGGTAAGTAAGCCTTTCACTCAGAATAGAAATTAGTAACCACAACTCAGCTATGGAGCTGTTGTACAGGGTTTGGATGGGACGTGCTGCTCCCAGGGTGAATGTCTGGCCGAGGAGGACTTGTGAAGGTTTCAAGGGCTGTGAGGACACATGTTTGGAACGGAAGAAGCATGCTTAAATGATCAGCTATGCTGTTCAAAACATAAGGACTTAAGAGGGAACGCTAGCTATCTTTCGCTCTTTGGGCAGTCATCAGGAAAAGATAAATTCTTGACTTGAAGACAATCATTTGATTAGTTTGATTGAACAAATTGCCAGGTGCATTATTTACGTAATATGTTTTGTCAAATTCAGGAGTGATACGCACCTTTGGGGGGAAAACTGTAAACTATATAATTGATGTACTTGGGTGGGAGAATGTGAAAAGTGTACACATTTTTATAAGTGTACACATTTACATACTTCATATATAAAGATTGATTCATTGGAGCTTCAGTCTGCCTTCTGACAAGAGCTGGGTTTATTTGTCTGTAAAATGATATTGTCGTCCAGTTTTAAATATGATTTGAGAAGGGAGCCACTACGTTGAGAAGCATGGATTTCAGAGTTAATTAGATCTAAATTCAAATATTCATTCTATGACTTCCCACTTGTGTGACATGCGAGTAATGGCTGCTCCTCGCAGAGCTTCTGTTTCCGGGTTGGGAAAATGGGTTGGTTGTGGGATAAGGGAGGATGCTTTTAAAGGCAAGAAGCAGAATACCAGAGTGCAAACTGTCTGGAGATTGGAGACTGATGATTTCTAATACAAGGGCAGTCTTTCTGTAGTTCTCTGGTCTTTTTCCTCATTGTCCCAAGACAGGGGTGGGTGCCCAGTTCCAAACCCTAAAATCACTACCTTCAACGGCAGGAAAGCACGGTGCTGCTTCTGGGACCTATCTCTCTTTCTTTATTGTAGCCGCACCCCAAAGCCCCCATCAAACCTCTACTCACTCCCACTGGCCAATTCTGAATTGCTCGCCCACTTGTAAACCCCCGCCAGCAAGGGGAAGGACTGGACCAGAATGCATCGCTGCCCTGAGCTGCCTAATCAAAATCGAGATTGCATTAGTGCAGAAGAAGGCGGTGTCAGCTGTTGGGTGGGCAAGCAAAGTATCTGATACAGCATCCTCGTGTAGTAAAGTCACTATGAGAATTAAATGAGGAACATTTGGGTCATAGCACAAGAGTGGGTACTTAATATCAATATTCCCCCAAAAGGAAAATTGGCATAATAAGGTTTACTTCAGTTAAGTATTTTTTAAATGCTTACAATATACTGCTACCCTAACATTCATTTGTCATTTGTTAACTAAATCACTTATCGAAGGCAAGCAAAAATATAAGCATAATTGTTCAGAGATATGAACAAGTTGCAACAACGCTTTGAACGTAGGAGTTTTTACTTTTAGAAGAAGAGAGCCATCGCTATGAAGGCTCTCTCTGGTTACTTCAGAGACACATTTCTGGTATGGAGGTTTATTTTGACCCAAGGAAGAGGGATTGTTGTTTGCAAGCTGTTGCGTCCATTCTGATGCATAGCCGCCCGAAAGCAGAGAGCAGAGCTGTCTCCACAGGGTCACCCAGCCCAGTCTTCACAAGAACAGACCCCGTGTTTTCTTCTGCAGGATGGCTGGGAGGTTCAAGCCTCTCACCTTGACCTTAGCAGCTCCCGGAACACTTAACCACTGCCCAATTAGGGTTCCTTAAAGGTGGTTATTGGTAGGAGCAATTGACTGGGTTCTAACTCACATCAACCCTACAGACAGCAGAACTAAACAGTGTCCAAGCCCCCACCACCCTCATAAGTGTTGCTTGACATGAGCTCATTGTTACAGCCACTGTGTCAATCCATCTTGTCGAGGGTCTTCCTCAAAATTTCTTGGATCCTCCACTTGACCAAGCATGATGGCCTTCTCCAGGAACTGGTCCCTTCCGATAGCATGTCCAGCAGACATGAGACAGAGCTTCACCACCCCTGCTTCCAAGGAGCAGTCTGGCTGTACTTCTGCCGAGACAGATTTGTTCATTCATCTTTCAATCCATGATATAGTCAGTATTGTTCCCCAACACCGTAATTCAGAGGCACCGATGCTTCTTTGCTGGTGCTTAGTCACCGCCCGGCTTTCACAGGCTCACAAGACCTCTGACAACACCATGGGTCAGTTGGGCATCGTATCTTTAAAGTGGCACGAGAGCTCAAGATGGAAAGACATGCGATTAATTTGGAGCTGCGAGTTGGAACTAACTCGGAAGCAACTCAAATCACAATAAACTCAGGTTCTTTGGTCAGTGGGTCTTTTAGGTTGGAGACTTAGATTATCATGCTGTTGTGAGCTGAGATGATCTTCCTCGTCATTGCAGGGGAGCAACGCTAGTTCTGGGGATGCGGGAGGGAATGGGGTCATGGTACAGCTCTATAGATCATCTAGGTCGTTCAGCCTGACCATCAAAGAAGTTTCAAATTTGGCAAAATAATTTTAACAATGATCCTATCAGGGAATGTGCTGGATGCAGAGACAGAAGAAGTTCTACTGTAGCAGGTCCTGGAAGTTGAGAGCATTTTCTCCAGGTGTAGATGTCAACAAAGACCCCTTTAGGGAACGAACCGAATGCCTGCAGGTAAATTGATACAAAAGTGCTGATATTATTGATAAATAATGTTATGTATTATCTTGAGATATAAAATTCATGCCACCAGGAGAAAAGCAATCGTCTGTGCTTGTGTGTGTTTTGGCCCTGTGTATGCATTTGATGAGTGTTTTCCATTTTTAAATCGTTTCATCGTCTTTGATACACCTGATTCTTATAAGGAATATATTAAAAGGATGACTTGTTTTGTGATTTTTTTTCCTGTCAGATGATGACTTATGAGTGGTATTTACCCAAGATGGCAAGGCATTTGCCAGGTGTCAACTTCCCTGGGAACCGGTGGAATCCTGTGGGAGGAATATTGCCTGGCGGGATGGTCACGTTTAATCTTTATCATTTTCTTGAAACAAACAAACGGTGAGCATTATTTTCTCATAATAGCTTTTCTAAAATCTTAAGCTTTTCTAAAATTGTTTATGGAGCAGCTGTGCCTCATCCAAAAGGACCAATCTCCTACACTTCCTTCCCCACCACCAGTGAGATTATCTGTGTAATTAAATGGAATATCTGCGTATAAATGAGACCAGGCAGAAATAAATGTTATTGCTCTGGGTAAAGGAAAACTAAAGGCAGATTAGCAAGAACCGTAAATAAGATCTTAGTGCAATTCAGAGAAATTGGAGATGTGCCTGCCTACTTGAAATCATGGCAGGTGGATCACGAGCAATTACAGTCTTCCCCAGCTGAACACCAGGGACCACTTTTAAATGGAAAGCAAATGTTTTCCAGGAAATAATCACAATATAAAAATAGCCTAAGATTGTGTTTTTGTAAAAGATAAGGCATTTTTATAAATCAGAAAAACACCTACCTGCAGTAATGCTAGCCGAGATAAAACTAGAAGGGTTCTAAAGATCTCTCAGTAATACGGTGCTGAACATTGCTCCCATCTCTGAGATGGGATGTGTGGGATTGTCCGGAGCCTGAAGAAGGAAGCCCTATCTCGTTACATCTAGTTTCCCGTAAAGGGGACTTCAGAAATTCTATATAAATCCCAAAGCTAAATGATCCCCTAGAACAGCGGTTCTCAACATGTGGGTCGTGACCCCTTTGGGCGTCGAATGACCCTTCCACAGGGGTCGCCCAATTCATAACAGTATCAAAATTACCGTTAGGAAGTAGCAATGAAAATAATTTTATGGTTGGGGGGGTCACCATAACATGAGGAACTGTATCAAAGGGTCGCGGCATCAGGAAGGTTGAGAACCACTGCTCTACAAGAACATCACAGGCATTCTGGTGGGATATCAGGCAATGTGGTGGGATATCAGGCAACGTCCTGGGCTGCCGAACAGTGTGAGCCCACCAGCCACTCTGTGAGCTAAAGGGGAAGCTTTCTCCTCCTGTAGACTTATATTCCCAGAGTCACAGGGGCAATTCCACTTTGCCCTAGGGTTGTTATGAGTCAGAATTGACTCTCGGGCAGTGGATTTGGTGTGCAAGAATATCATAATGTGATACTTTTAATCTTCAGAAGCTAAAGTTAACTTTGACTCATGAGTAGCTTATTTGTATCTCACAAATAACAAACCCACACATAGCGTCCCAAGAAATAGAATGTTCAAGGTTGGCAAAAGCGTATCATGTACATGCTCTTCGTGTGAAAATGCAGTTCTGGTTATGAAGGCATGTGCACAGGTATGCTTGTTAATATTCATTAACAAGTAATGATTCATTGTGATCCAGTCAGCACTCACTCCTGACAACCTGACATAAAAGTGACTACCTGACCCTACACTCGCCTCCTAATCACCGTGTGTTTGAGCCCAACAGTGCAGCTGGTGCGTCAGTCTGTGTCATAGCGACTTTCCTCTTGAGAGTAATACTTTTTCTATTTCAGGATAAAATAGTGAGACCCACCAAAATCCCTAAATAGGCATGTTTGTTCATTGTATTTAGCTCAATCCCATCGATATTTATTGGGTGTCTACTGATTGCAAACTTGTAGCCAGCCCTGGCAAATAAAAAGATGAATGTAGACCACAACCTAGTTGTACAACTTATAGACACAGATATACGATAAGTCTGTGTAACCAGAAGATGGAATTAGCCCCACACTTGTAAAAGCATCATATTCAATGCTCCACATGCAAGTGGCTGATTTAACTTGACAGTCTTAAGTGTTTGGGGAGCATGGGTGAGAAAGCAATTCATTCTGCCTGGGGGTTCATTGTAGCCTTTATGTAATGCGTTTTGTGTGTCCAGAATGTTCTGTGAACTATGTGAGGAGGCTACAAAAATCTGTGGAGAAATTCCACTATCATTTCATTGCATTTTTCCATGACCCTTTTGAAACCCATAAAAAAAATCGGGATATTTTAAGGTCATATTAGCTAGCCTGAGACAGAGGAAGTGCATGCTGGATTTATGTGGAGCAGTTTGTGTTGTACTGAATATTTAGGTTAAGCTCTACTCCACATGCTTCTTTTGATCCACAGGGATATTTGAACAGTGCAGACTACATAAACTTGGAATTCTCCCCAACTATCACTTTACCTTTATTAGGAACTGACCAGCAGGCGGTTCCAATTTGTTATCTTAAAAAGGGGGCCCAAAATAAGAATTACTGATGGCAGAGCAGGTTATCTGTTTGACTGCTAACCCCGAGTTCCGCTGTTCAAGCCCCTAGCCGCTCTGTAAGAGAAAGATGAGACTTTCTGCTCCCATAAAGACTCACAGCCCAGGAAACCCATGGAAGTTCCACTCTATCCTATGAGTGGTAATCGACTGGCTGGTTGTGAGTTTGGTACAATAAATAGAGATTCAACTGTTCTGAAACCCAAAATGGGTCTATCAGAGTTCAAACTCCTTTATTAAAATTAAAATGTTCTAGTCTATTATAAGATGGTACAACTTATCCACCCGTGCACAGAAACTCTTAAAAGAAAAGTTAGAATATTTCTTACAAAGAAACCGGGCTTTGACCTCTCCTCTGAAACATTTAACATCGATTTCTCTATATTAAAACATGTTCTGAAATGTTTAGTGTATAATTTAAAAAAGAAAAGTTTAGGTCTTCAAGATAGTTATGAAAATTGCTATGAAGTCTTGCATATTCGATACTCTAAATTGCCCTCACCCCTTCCATGTGTGTGCCTTTTCCGTTTTCCCTCGTCTCAAGCTCTGTTGGCTTTGCAGGATCCAGCTGATAATCTCTGTGGACACGGCACAGCCTCCCAGACCACAAAGGAAAACCCGCTGCCATCTAGTCGATTCTAAGTTATCGTGACCCTATGGGACAGAAAAGAACTGCCCCTTCATGTCTCTAACCCTTTAAATCTTTTAAAGGCTGAACAGTGGCTGGTGGGTTGGATCCATTGACCTCATGATTACCAGCTAGCCATCATGGGTCAGAACATAGATTCCCTCGGAAGTCCCTTAATACCTAACTCCTTTTCAATTATTTATTACCATATATACTCATGTATAAGCCAAGTTTTTCAGCACATTTTTATGCAGTTTGTATGGTAAAATTAGGTGCCTCAGCTGAGATTTGGGTCAGCTTATACTCGAGTATATATGGTACCTTTTTTTGTCTTACCTTGTAATTTGTGGGTCTGAATCCTTCTCATATTTAAAATGAGGTGACAAATTAACAATTTTCTGTATCAGCACTCCACATAACTCCAGGAACAGGCTTAAAAACCAAGACACATTAAAAAAAATTATTGTTGGGCTATGTAGTGAATCATTCACACCTTTGAAATGGTAAGTCTCATTCACTTAGGCCTTGTGTGATTTCTTTCATCAACATTCATCATTTTTAACATACAGATCCTACATATTTTATTTCATGTATAGCTAAATATTTAACTTTAAGAGCTATTATAATACAAATTTTAAACTTTCAGTTCCCGGTTTCAATTATTCATTGCTATTGTATAGACTCACTGTCATTAAGTCGATTCTGACTCATAGTGACCCTATAGGACAGGGCAGAACTCCTGAGACTGTAACTCTTTATGGAATAAAGAGTTATCCCACCTCCCAAAGTGATCCCATTGATGGCATAGTGCATAAAGTGGCATTGTAGGCCAAATGTTGGGCTATTAGCCACATGGTCAGCAGCTCAACACCACCAGCAACCCCAGTGGAGAAAGATGAAACTTTATACTCCTGTAAAGAGTTATTCTCAGAAACTCACAAAGGCAGTTCTACCTGTAGGCTCATTATGAGTTAGGATCGATTCAATGGCAGTGAGTTTTAAAACTGGATAGACATACATGCAACTGTGTGTGTGTGTGTGTACACCTTATATACTGCAACTTTGCTAAACTCACACTCACCTTTTCTGGCCAGAGGAAAGGTTCCCTCCCCCTCTGAGAGTCAGGCCACTGTCCTACGCTATTGTCTTCACAGATGCCACAGCACTGCTTGGGGACAACCCCCCAAGGAGTTCCTCCACTTTCTCTCTTACAAGCCCACTTTACTGCTTCTTGGACTAGAAAGAAAGAGTTGTGAGTTTAGGTTTGGGTTTTTTTTCCTGGGGCTCTTTTTGATCTCCTCGGTGCATACTTCTTTAAACTGAGGCCACCTAGTGCTGGAGGAGAAGCGGATACACCCACTGCTAGTTTGGTGCGACTTTGAGTTCCGATCCCTTCCCCCAGGCTTCCTTCCACCATTTATTTCCAGGGTCCTCAGATGGCTACTCCAGGTCTCTGTCCAGGAATCCTCATTGTGGCCAGTGCTTGCCTCCAGCTCCCAGCACAGGCACCCTATTGCACTAGATACAGTGAAATCTCTCAAATCAGAGAGGTAATGAATGGGAGAGGAACAATTCGAGCCCAGAATTGGCTTGTTCCTTGAAGTATTTTTCTGGGATCTTTTTACTTTTAAGTGATTCCCTTCACATGCTCCTTGCCCCCCCCCCTCCCATACACACCCCGACTCCACAACTATTAATAATAGCTATTAAAGTCTAAAGCAAAAACTGGTATAAAACTATGAAATTATGAGAATTTCTAACCAAGTTATTTAAGCCAGTGCTCACTCATTCACGTCAATTCTGACTCAGAGCAACCCTATAGGACAGGGTAGAACTGCCCCTATGAGTTTCCAAGATGGTAACTCTTCACAGGAGTAGAAAGCCTCATCTTTCTCCCACAGAGCGGCTGATGGTTTGGAACTGCTGACCCTGTGGTTAGCAGCCCAACAAGTAACCCACGCCGCTACCAGAGCTCCTTCCAGCCATTGCTTGTACTCATTTGTGCAGGATTTGCAGCTCTGAGCAGTCATTGCAATCTAATTAATTTCACTCATCAAATATTTATTGTATGCTAGCTGTATGCACCGTGCTGTGTGGAATTCAGAGTTTATTCAGGGGTAGGGAACCTAGCCTTAGGATACTTCTGGGCTAACCAGGGAGAATGACAAATGCAAATCATGCGTAGAACACAGTAGTGGTGATGGAGTAACAAAAACTCCTTGCAATGGAGGTTTGAAGGAGGAGAGACTAGTGAGTAGGACCACAAAGGAAGACATCTTTCCACTGGGAATGTTTTTTAATATCAGAAAGCATTTATGCTGACATGTGAGATGGTGTCACGGGAGTTTTCCCGAGTGAATTCTTAGCTGCCAGGAAGCAGGATTTCATGTCCATCTCTGTTTGCTTCCCGCCATCCTTCAGAACCATCTTTTTTTACATGAAGATACATTTCAACAACAACAAAAATAACCCCAAGTGTTCATTCACAAAGGGTTTATTGTCACTCAACATGTAAGGACTTAAAAATGGTCTGTCCTGAATGATACGTACCGCACCTATAGAACTGGAAGTTAAAAATATGTATTTTTCTGCCTTTGATAGAAAAGAAACATTTGTTTGCATAGGAATCCATGAAGGGGACCCCAGCTGGAAAAAGAACTATTCACTTTGGCCATGGGGCTCTTGTGACAAATTAGTTCCTTCAGAGATCGTATTCCACCCTGAGGACTGGATTAAACGTACAAGAGCCATCTACAACTGGACGGAAGACTATGGCCGGTATGAGCATCACTTCTTTCTTTCACTGCAGGGGAAGAGTTCAGAGTACCAAAGACATGTGACTACATTCGGAGATGATAGTTCCATTTGGTTTTGATCGGGGTTTGGGGGGTTTTGTTTGTTTGTCTGTTTTTTAATTGCTAATATTGTTAGCTGCTGCCCAGATAAGATCATAAAATAATTAAGTTGATTCGGGATATAAGCATATACCTCTGGGCAGTCACTTTTTAATCTTCCTTGTTGTTCCCCACTGGCAAAGCTCAGAGTACTTAGGCAGCTTTCACTAGGCACACAAACTCACCGCTGCCCTAGATGCAGCTGCTTCATACCCACAAGGCCCAGTGTGGGCTGGGAGTCCTGGAGACCTCCGGAAGTGGCTGCTGCAGCTACTGGCTAAGACTGAACGAGTCGTGAGAATTACACAGCAAGAGAACACGTCTTCCTTGTCTTTCTGTTTCAAGGACAATGAGAGATGGAAAGGGAAGGGAGGCTGTAGGTGAGTGGGCACCACAACCATTAGATGCCACAGCATCCTCCACTTCCTGCTCTTCCACGCTATCATGACACACACTCCCACCCCACCCCCATCACTTATCTCATGACCCGAAAAGGGGAAGAGATTCGCTAACTGCCACTAGGGTATAAAAAACACGCTGTCGCCCATGGTAGCTTCAATGTGCATATGCTTGTCTTCTTTTCCTTCCTTCAAAGGGCATTCTTCCAATTGCTTCTCTATAAGAATAGCTTTTTCTTCAGAGTCGTTTGACCTCTGCTCAATTGTATTGCTTTGAGCATTTTCGATCTTCATGTAAGCATTTCTACACAGTGTTTCTCCCATATGAAAACAAAAATAAGGTACCATTTAAGAAAATACGCTTCCATTGCTTATTGTAATTATGAATTAGTTAAAGATTATATAACTTATTATTTGATTCAGGAATGACAGAAAGTGCTGCAATGATTTCTTTTTGATTCAATATTAGCTAACAGAGCACACTGTTGTCAAACAGCCAGAGATGGATAGCGAGGATTGTGTGACCCTCAGAAGGTAAAATTTGAAAATGGCATATTCTCTACACAGCCAAAGACAGTACAAGTGTGCATCACCACTCATTGGCATTCATTCTTTGTCTAATAAGACAAAGCTTCATAGGAGGCAGGAGAGCCAGCAACTGTCTTGGCCAGCGTCCCTCCAACAGCATCACAGTTTGAACAGTGATTGATTGAGGCAGGCAGCCTGCTTCAGGCTCATCTGCTTGGTTCTCAGCTCTTTGGCTCTTAGCTGTGCCCATAAGGTGGCTTACTTTCTGCCCTTTTAATGACTTTTTGGAAAAGTAGACTTCCCAAATACCACCAGCCTATGCTCATAAATCCTTCGTTTGCTCCCATCAGATGCTGGGTCTCAATATACAGAGTAGGAATACACTTCCAGGGCCCCAACTACTAACACTAGTATCAGTACTTCAAGACGCTGCCTATTGAGTTTACCTTATCAGATTCTGAATCAGGAATTGCATGCCCGTGCAATGAATGTCATGGACAGGAAAACAAAACATCGATTATTTTCTCAAAACCACAGGTTTGATCCATCTTCTTGGGAATCTGTGGCCAATGAAGAAATGTGGCAAGCAAGGTAACTATCGCATATTGGGGGGGGGGTGGTGGTCTATATCGTCTTACAGTTCAGAGAAGTCACCTGCGGCCCATTTAGTTTCGGGAGGAGACATGGGTGATGTTAGCAAAGATTGCGTATTGAGCAATTCATTTTGCATGAAATAATGTATTAGGCAGGAAACATGAATAATCTCATTTCATCCTCACAACAGTCTATGAGAAAGCTCATCTCCATTTTTCTAGAACAACAAACTGGATCATAGAGAAGTAAAGTAACTTTCCCAAAGCCATGCAACTCAAATAGGCCATAGCAGACTCCTGCCAGTGAGTCCATTCTGACTCAGACTCCTCCCACTTACAGAAAGTCCTCACGGGAATAGAAAGCCCTGCCTTTCTCCTGAAGCCACATGACCACCAGACATGAAATCCAGAGCTCAAGTCTGCCTGGTGCTGGAAGATTCTTATACTGTCTACACTGTCACCACCACACCAAGTGTCTGTAATGGCTAGAGAGGAGGGAGAAGTAGATAAGTACAATCCTGGCTCCATTTCCAATGCTCCAGTTCATGCTTTAAGCATGTTTAATGCCTCTGAGACCAGGCATTATGCTCAGCAAAGAAGCGACACATCTGAGTATCGCTCAGTCCCTACTCTGACCAAGTTCAGAGAGAGTGGAGCAGACAGACCTATGAAGGAGATGTGAATGTTAAGGTGATAGATATGCCGTACTTCCTGTGGTTCGGAAAGAGCGGTCTAATGGTCCATGCACTGCGAAGGACACAGAGTACTTCACAGGGATGGTACCTGTCATCATTTGATAGCACTCAACGCAGCCAGCACGACCACACTTGGGCCTAAGTAGTCCTGTGCAAGGTCAATGTAAGTGGTACACACAGGGGCCCAAGTACATAGGCCATGCTTCCTTCTGCAAAACTGTAAGGCTGGCTGCTGGCGCCAGGGATAGTGCTGTGCCCTGACAACGTTTGCAGTGGCGATTTTTTTTAAAGTCAGAAAACAGCCTGCTTTGAGTTATGAGTCTAGTTGTAGAGGCAAATACTTACTCTGAGAAACTGATCAAAGGTACACTGTGACTGAATGGAGGGAAGACGGCTAAAAGAAGAACGCAGGTCATTTTGCGAGCAGGGATTGCTTTAATTAGCGTGTGAATACACTCTGGATGCGTTCATGTGGCCAAAGAATCCAGCCACCTTTGAAGAGGTGAGCACTCTGATGGGCACCTTCAGGGCTGTGGTGAGCGGCCCGCTGGTCCCCCGCACAGCTGCCCTTGCCTAGCAACCGCTCGAGTCAGAGGAAGGGCTGGTACAGCAGTGTTGATTACAAGCCCGGGTCATCCGTGTGAACGCGTGGGTTTGGCTGTGCGGGGAAAGGCCCGCTGCTGTTGCTGCAAAGTAAGGGCCCAGGAATATGCAACAATTAAAAACACAATAAAGGGCTCTGTGTATCCCTCAGCCACGGAAAAGTCTGGCAGCAGCATCTTTGGATGAGAAATTGACAGCATGATTTTAACGAACGTTCTCCCTCCGCCTCTTCCCTCCCCAGGATGAAAACCGCCTTCTTCATCTTCCACCTGGCTGAAACCGCCATGCCGTCAGATGTGAAAGCTCAACTCTACACGCATGCGTACAACGTATGTCTGAAATGCACACACCTGAAAGTGGGAACGGGGTGGCGATGGTTTGGGATAAAGAAAAGGTCTATCACAGGACAGTCGTTATTCTTGTGGCAGCATCTGTGGAAAGATACCTACGTGGATCAGAAATGATCTCTAAGTCCCAATGGTAGACGAATGCCCCCATCCCCAAAGATAGTCACATCCGAGTTCCTAAAACCTGTGAGTGTAATGACTTTTGGGACACAGGGACTTTAAAACATTGCACATGTGCTTAAGTAGAGGGTTTGGGTGGGGAGATTACTCTTGATTGTGCCGGTGTGGCCGAGCTAACCACCTTATATAAAGGAGGGGCTTACAGTTAGAGAAGGAATTGTGGTGATGCAAACAGATGAGAGAGAGAGAGAGAGAGAGAGAGAGAGAGAGCTGAAGCTGCTCTGCTGTTGTCTGTGAAGTTGGAGGAAGAGGCAGGAGCCAAGGAATGCAGGCAGTCTCTAGAAATGCCAGAAAGCAATGGCTTCTCTCCTAGAAGCTCTCCAGGGAACACACCCCTGCCCCAACCTTGATTGCAAGACTTCTGGCCTCTGCGCTGTTAGTGAGTTCACTCGTGCTATTTAGGAACAAGGACTTCAAAAAACCCACTCCCCTGGGGATTACCTTCCCATACAAGAGCCAGAGCCCTGCCCACCCTTTAACGAGATTCCACGCAGGAAGATCAGAGCACATGGAGAGTGGCACTGTTTTCTAACTAGCCCCTGAAGCAGAACAGACCTTCAGAAGGAAGCCACGCTGTCACGAGGCCCTGACCCAAATCTGTCCTCTGCTGTAGCTGTGTTTTAGCTGACGCCTGCTTGACTGGGATTTATAGCTCTGAGCCCTTCAGACCTCTTCTGAGATGGGCTGTGCCTGCTCCATGGGAAACCAGCATCCCGGCGGCAAAGGGTAACGGAAGAGCCACTAGCAGCTGGGCACTCCAGTCATCCCTAGACCCCTGTGGATCCACGCAAGCAGGACTTGGTTTGGTGCTAAGTCAAAATAGCAAGGCGACCAATCAGTATGACGCCTTTTCCTCCTTGGTTTTGTGATCATTGGTCCGTTGCTTATCCATTCATTGGTGCGTGCACAAAGCATCCCCACCCCCACCCCCACCCAGCACCACTCCATACCAAATTTGGTGGTGGAGACTGACAGGCATTGTCCCCGCCCTCAGATAACAGGTTAGGGGAGGAGCCAGAAGATAACTTGCTCCTTTGAGAGGGATAGGCTTTTGTTCTGGACACTGGGGATGCCATGCATGAGTCCGAGGGCCTACAGAGGCGCCCTCGCTTGAGTGCCGTCGTGAAAGATGAGAAGGAGCTAGCCAGACGGATGGAGGGGCAAGCAAGGGCGAGACGAGGGAGGTGGTCCATAAGGGGGCTACCCAGGGATCCAGACAGCTCCAAGGTGCCCCCTTCCCCGCGCCCCCCCCCCCCCACCCCGGACCCCACGGGGCTGGATTGCTGGGGATCGCTTGCTGGAGCTCTGGTTGACAATCAGGATGGCCAGGCACCAGCCCTGTCCTACTACTCACCGTAACTGTGGGTGAGGTGCCTCTCCATCCCTGACCTCAGTTCTGTGTCAAAGAACATGATGGGCTTCCACCTTTATATATGATCTCGCATAGCCTAGTCATCTCATAGCCTGCTAATCTCGAGTGCCTCGTGATTCCGTGACAGACAAGAAGTGTTCTGCTCCGAAGGAGCTGAGACTTCCTGCTATGTAATATGCCTGTCTGCTTTCTATGGCACTGTCATTTGGTAGGCAACCGCTGCAGCACATTCCTGGATTGATTGTCTCTTCGAGCCAGTTAGCGCTGCTACTCCTTGAGGTACTAGGTATCACCTTAATGTGTAGTGTTGTACACAAGACAAACAAGGCCAAACTTCTTAACTAACGAGTCAGCCCCAAGCCTCCCTCAGTCCTGGTTTGTCAAGAGCAGGGGTCCTCAAACTTTTGAAAGAGGGGGCCAGTTCACTGTCCCTCAGACCATTGGAGGGCCGGACTATAGTTTTAAAAAAGAACTATGAACAAATTCCTATGCACACTGCACATCTTATTTTGAAGTAAAAAAACAAAAACAAAAAAAACGGGGCAAAAACACCCGGCGAGCAGATAAATGTCCTCGGTGGGCCGCATATGGCCCGCAGGCCGTAGTTTGAGGACCCCTGGTCAAGAGCATTTTCATTAGAGAAGAGAGGACATTCATGTCATTATTTACATTATCCTGCTCAGGAGCTCATAAAGGGCATTGGTGCTGTTGGGTAAGCACTGGGCTGCTAACTGCAAGGTCAGTAGTTCAAACTCACCAGCTGCTCTTCGGGAGCAAGATGAGGATCATCTGCTCCCACCAAGATTTAAAGCCAGCCAAGGCCAAGATAGCAATGAAACTCACCACCTTCCTCAAGAATGCCTGGGTCAAGGAGCTGGTGCTGGTCTTGTCCTTCACCATCAAGGAGCCTTGCCGTAATTCTGCCCCTGTGAATCCCTTACACCAAGTATGCCAGCAGGATCAACAAAGCTACCTAGTACCCCTCCCAGATGTTGGGAAAATGCCCTAGGTCCCCAGCCACCCACAGGACCCCCAGGGCCTCAGCCTGGAGTGGCTGAAGAGACCGTGAGCCCTGCCAGTGACAGCTTAGTGCCCCCCAACCCCCCAGTAAGAACCTGGAAACAAAAAGATGTACAGCCTCTGAAACCCTATGGTTGGTCGCTGTGAGTGTAATGGACTCGATGGCAGAGAGGTGTTTTTGTTTTTGGTTTGGTTTTTAATTCTGTGGACATCACATCACAGTGCCATGGGAGAGCAGGGAGTTGTAAACTCCTACACAGAGAGTAACGACAAGACACACACACACACCTAAAGGAGAAAATATCTCACCTGATGGCAAATGACACGGGACACAGTGTCACACGCTAGAAGGCAGTGTGTCCACCACCCAAACAGGCCGGCCACGAGGGCCCCTCGTTCTTCCGAGCAGCCGAACAAGCTCTCGAGTGCGCTGGGGGCAGTGGGGGAGCCCGCAGGGCCCGAGGAGGGTTTTGACAACTTGAGGGAAGCCAAGAGCCCGAGCGCTGCTTTGAGCCTGCTCTGTGCCGAGCACACCCCTCGTTGGAGGGAGGCTGGGGGAGAGAAGCAACGGTCAGAGCACATGGGCCTGTGAGAAACGCTACCCAGAGAACAAAAAGGGGGGAGTCCGGCTTCCCAGCTTCCATGCATATGAGAATGTGCGGGTTATAAAGGGGAACTGGGGGCGGGGTTTGGAATCCCCTGAAAAGGGCTATGAAATGTGGCCATGGTATCTCACACGGGCATTGTGGCCCTTTTTCTTCCGGAAGCTGTGTCAGGAAGCCAGGTATGCCCCTGTCCGCTCTGGATAGGAGTTGGGAAAATAGGTCATCTAATTGACTCCCTTTCAGCTGAATGATTTTACGATGACAGTTCTAATTCAAAAGGCACTTGTCCTTGGAGAAAGCATTCTTTCTGGGTAAACTCCTGGAAACGCAACCCCAGTTGAAGTAGAGGGTTCCCTGGTGCAGATTCGGACCTTAGTGTATGTGTGTGTGTGTGTGTGTGTGTGTGTGTGTGTGTGTGTGTGTGTAGTTGTTCATTTTTTATTATTCCCACCCCCACCCCTGGAAAATTCCCCATCAAAAAACCTCTCTGTCCAGTGGACACCCTTTCTGGTGTGAAAACACCAGAATCTGAATTCCTGCTGCAAAGTTAGCAGCCAGCCAACCTGCAGCTAGAAGACCCTGAGAAGATTGGAAATCTCTTGCTTTAAGCAAGGCTCTCTCACATTTTATTTGCATGCTCTGTCTCTGGATTCCTTTGGGATGTTTTGTTGTTGCTGTTAACGTAAAGAGAAATGTAGGTAAAGCATGTGGCACCAAATTTAAATACCTTTACTTGCCCCCCCACCTCCAGTCTTCTAAAAAGCTCTTCCCCAACATCTAAATTTAGAGTTTCAGCCTTTCTGCGCATTGAGTAAATAGCTTTCCATGAATTAAAACTAAATCCCATTCCCAGAACATCTTTCAAGAGGAAGAGCATTCGGCCCTGCTACGGGGTGTTTCTGGCTTCCCAGCCACATCTGGGAAACCCCAGTGGCCGTTTCAGAGGAAGCATCTTTTGCTTCCCGCCACTGCCTTCATTTCAGCCGCATCCTTGCATTTTCCGCGTGGCTAGCAACGATTCGATTTTTACCGCGGGTTGTGTGCACTGCGTGCGTGTGCACGATGGATTCCCCCGCGTTTTCAAAAGTCGGGGAACTAACGATGGGATACCAACCTGCTGTTGTTTTTACAGCTTTATAAGGAGATTGTCTATTTACAAAAGGAACACCCCGTGAACTGGCACAAGAACTATGCCATCGCCTGCGAGCGGATGCTGCGCCTCGGGGCCCGCGCGGCCGACGCCGAGGGCCTGCTCTCGGAGACCATCAGGCACTTCCGCCTGTACACCCAGAGGGCGCCCAGCGACCCCCAGCTGGCGGACATCGCAGATGCGCTGCGGCACCTCCGCCGAGAGCTGCAGAGCCTGAGAACTACGGAAAGCAAAGCCTGAGACGCCAAACGAAGTCTTCCTCTTCGTACCGTCCGAAAGGTTTTCTGCCAAGACCAGCAGCCTTGTACCAGTAGTCATCTCCCAGTTATCCGTACCGCGGGGCGGCAGGACTGGCTCTTGAAGCGGTTAGTGGTGCAGTTTGCTGCTTCCACGCGATGCCCTTCGTTCATCCCCTGGCACCACAGTAGCACTGCGGTGAGGGCCTTTGGGAACAAAAGCTTCCTCCTCCTACCGTCGTTCCCCAAATGGCAACGCTTGTTTGGGTTCTAGGAGAGAACGCACTACTTCCCCATCCTTACAAATATCCACCCTGGATCTTTAAAGGGCCTTGCTTGGTGGGAAGCACATTCTCATAAAATATTATTACCAGACCAACAACATTGTCTTTTCCCCGCAAAAGACATCATTTTTAAAAAGAGTGACGCCCCGCTGTGCTTCAAGTTTGAGTATGGTATTTTGGTGGTGTTTTGATTTGCTTTGGTGCAGTTGTAACCACGGTTGTTACGGAATGCCACGTGTTCAGCTAAACGCCAACTGGGGAATCGTATGAAAAAACAGTTGGGGTTTCATTGTTTCCGATCCTTCTCTGAAATTACCAAAAAGAAGGGAAAAGCTCATTTGATGTTCGCTGATGTTGCATGATTCCTGTCAGGGGGAATTTTTGTGCTTTCTTCGTTAGTTTTACATTTATGTTTTACTTCTAGTTCGACGCATAGGCTGCTGGCCCAATAATTAGTAGGCTCCTCCTGGCAAAGCTTTAAAAAGAGAGAGAGAGAGAAGAGGAGGAGGAAGGCGGGGACTGGGCATGAGGAAGTGGTTCAATACATCCATTTCTGCTACAAGCATCTTTTATACATATTACTAAAGAGCACATAGTACGAAATGCAAATAATGGTCCTTTATTTTATTATGACAGTTAATTAATAGCAACCTGTTTTAATGAATAAAGTCACTCAGAGTCCTTCAGCACTTCCTAAGTAGAGGCCAGAATCTGTAGGGATTCTTTTCCCGCAATTGTATAGCTCCCAGACTCCGAGCACTATATAGGCCCCTGTATAGAAATGCTCACTAATGAAGAGGGAGGGCTAGAAGCTTGTCTGCATTCAAAGATCACTGGTGAGTCATTCAGCAAGAAAAGGCCCCTGACCAGGAACAGTCACAGTTCCGTGGCATTGTGCTAGCCAAAGGGGCTGATCAAAGGTCTCCCGCGGAGCTTGCATGGTTCCCTTTCAGACGACGACCATAATTAAAACCACTAATTCTCTTTTAAAATGCTGCAGGATGCCATGTAGGCATCTGTCTGGAGTGTCCTTTGTGATGTCATAAGCTGTTAAGGACCAGCACCGAGGGCTTTTGAGGGAAATGCCAGTCATGAAGGTGCTTCAAGACAAGGGTGCCCCGGCAAGCTTGACAGGGCCTGGCCTGCACAATCCGAGCTGCATTGGCCCCTTGTCAGCTGCCAGTAAATAAATCTCAAAGGGGGAAAAGCTGAAGTTTCATTACCTGATCCATGGGGCTTTGTTGGTTTTGGCATCACACAGGGGAAGCTCTCGCCCCTCCATTCTCTGGGTTTGAAGATGTCCATTGGAGCCTGCAGGGCCTGGACAGGGTTCAGAGCGGAACCTTTTGAAGAGTGTCAATAGTTGTAACAGTTCAGCTGTTAGAAAGACAAATAAATGGAGGAGCTCATTAATCCGCTTTTGGCTCTCGGTGCCTTTTGCCCTTTTATCACAGCCTTATTAGGCTCCTACTCATCTTGAACCAGGGGGAGAAAATGAATTGAAGTTGGGGAGTACTAATTGGCAAAGACTTTGAATCACGGGCCAAGAACTTTCACTGACTTGAAAGTCACTTCTCCACAGGGAAGAACCGAAAACCTGGTTTACCGTAAAACAAAAACTTGTTGGCGTCGGGGTGGGGTGGCGATGTCAGGAGGCGTCGGGAAAACATCTGAGCATACCCAGTGGAAAGAAACCGTGGAGGGTTAGGATTTCTCACTTTTCTGAAAAAGAAGATAACTGGGAAATGAGATATTCAGAGTAAACTTCCCCCCCCCCTCCCCCATGCAATGTTCTTATTGGTCTGGAGAGGAAATGAACATGTTTGCTTCTGAATGACAGGATCGCAGCGAGATGAACATGGGTGAAGCAGCCATGGCCCTCAGTGAAACAAGTAGCTCTCTGCATCGGTAGTGTCGGCGGTAGGGGAACACTCCGTGTGTCTGCAGACACAGGCGATATGTAAGGAGCCTTTCCCAAGCCGCATTTCCTAGTCATTCGCTTAAGGGTAGTGAGTGAAGGCCCCGGTTGAGATGGCCTGTGCTTGAGTTTTGTGCCTGTCCCATGGAGCGAGAAATGGGGAGCTTCAAAAATCCCATGATCTTTTCATTCCATTTTTCCACCAACATTTTGAATCCCCCTCACTGAATACGCTTTAGGGATTGATTATGGTCATGCGATGATTCCGTCTTTGCACGACGTCTCTCTTTGGAAAAACAATGAATGGTATGTTGGCCAAAGGTAGTGAGAGCATCCATGTTTAAAGGTCTGAAGCCTGCTGGTACAGGGAAAAAGAGTAGCCTGTGCTGAGTCCTAGGGTGCTGGGATCAGCCACTTAAAAACACTCCTCTGCCTTCCTGTGGTGTGAGGTTCAACAAGTCCCTCTCTCATGCCTTCTCTCCCTCTCCTTGGCTAGTTCACAAACACCGTGAAATCTGACAGAAGGGGTTGCCTTTAGTCTAAACCCCCCCCCCCCCAACCCAGACATCGGAGTGCATGTGAAGGAGGTGGCCTCTCATCCAGGATTTGGCCAGCATTCTCTGAGCACTGTCCCAGGATTGGGATGGATTGGCAGGGTGACAAGAACCCCACAAAGCCAACTTCTGCCTAGACTTTGGCCTGAGGAGCAAGTGGGAGCCAGCAAAACTGTCTGCCTTCCCACATGCTTGAGTGCCCTGCTGCCCTGGCACCAAGGCTGGCATCCACAGAGGGTGAGTGGAGAGGGCTTCGCAGCTTCCATGTGGTCTGGCTACAGAGTGTACACGGTTCCCTGTCCCTGTGCCCGCTGATGAAGCTGTTTGCCTCTTAGGAGCCACTTGGTTTTTTGCTTTGTAGTTTGACTTGTTTGTTTGTTTGTTTTCTAATGTTTATTTTTCTAATGTTTATATTCGGATACTCAAAATGTAGCCCAAATCAAAGGCAGTCCACTACTAGTGAGCTATTTTGAAATCTTCCAATGGAATTGTAAAATACTACTCATGTCCAGAATGCGCATAATTTTTGATGATGGAATTACGCTAGTTAGCCTTTAGCATAGTTAATAGAGAGCTTATAGTTAATAGATAGTAGATATTAAAATAAAGCTCATTTAAAATGTTAGGGCTCTTTTAAGATACTGTTTTTGTTATCAGGCTAGGGAGAGTAGCTTGTGTAGTTTATATTTTGAAAGTTAAACAATGTGAATTGTTACCACCAAAATCCCTCCTTGTTTAAAAAAATTAATTTTTATATTCAGGGAAAAAAATTATTTTAACTTCACAGATATGGGGGGGTGGAAAGAATCTTATTGCAGCAAATCCCCTTACGCTGCTGGACTTTGGTTATATTTTACAAATGCACCCAAGTCGGGGAGGCATATTTGAAATCAAGTTGGCACCACATCCTACAGTTACATAAAGAAAAATGCTCCAACCCAGTGGGAAAGTCACATTGCTTTGTTCATCCTCAAGTGTGTGTGTGTGTGTTTATGAGCCTCTACTCATCAACAAATACATAATGTTACCAGGGATTCTGGAAGCATCTAAAGGCCAAGATCTCGGCACAACATTACAGTGCAAACAAGGAACTAAAGCTTTCGCAGGGCTCATATTCAATGAAGACGTCATTGTCAGTACCCGCTAACGGTCTGTGTGGTTTGGAGCACCACGGATGGTGTGCAAAGACAGTAGAGTATGCTCACTTGGATCTAGCAAAGTAAACTAGTAGGAATATATCTTGTGTAAGAAGTGGTTTGTTTGTTTTTTCTGGAAAAAATCTTGATTGCTTTTCAATAAAGTACTATGTATTTTGTGGAAATTTATGGAATGGAATGAAATAGTACATGATGCCATGCTACAAAAACGTGAAGGTAGACAGGGACAGATTGACAGGTAAAGGTTCCAAACCTATGCCTATGAAGCCAGCGACTGGTACCCTGTAAATAAAATGGTTTGTATCTTTGTTGTTGTTGTTGATTTGGGGTTTGCTTTCAGCAATACAGGAAGTTGAGCAGACAAGGTTCAACACACAGGTCAAGGACACCAAGGCCAACCAGTGGACCACACCCCTGTCCTACTGACCCGCCTTCACAGAGCGCCCAAAGAGTCTCAAGTCTCTCCGTTGCCCTTCCAGACTCCCTGCATCAAGTCGGTGTCAGCTCAGAGAAGTCTCCTCTTTCCCCCGTGCGGCAGCGGCTGGTTGCAGGTTCCAACCTCGTGGTTAGCGGCCCAACATGTAATGCAAGACCCCACAGGGCTCCTTGGGGTTGCCAGCCAACGAGGATACTGTTGTTAAATTAAGCTCTAATACAAGATAGAAATAAGCCAAAACACTTTCATAACATGAGTTGTTTAGAATTTGTTATAAATCTGACATACGGCGTATTGAGAAAAAACATCCCATGGATGAAAGTGGAATACAATCTTCATACATTAACTAAATAGAGATTATGTTCCATTTAAAATAAACAATCATCTTCTGCTTTGAAGTATGATCTGGAAAGAGGTTATTTGGTAATGTAATCTTTTAAAGGAGCCCTGGTGGCATTGTGGGTTATGCATTTGGCTGCCAACACAAGGTCAGCAGTTCAAAACCACCAGCTGCTTTGCAGGAGAAAGATGGGGCTTTCTACATCAGAACCCCACAGGGACAGTCTATCCTGTCCTGTAGGGTCATCGTGAGTTGGATTGACTTGATGACAGTGAATTCAGTTTTTTATTTGAGGAATCTTTTAAGACATTTTGAGATCTTTCATCTAAAATGTGCACTGGATCAGTGGTTCTTAACCTTCCTAATGCCGCAACCCTATAATACAGTTCCTCGTGTTGTGGTGATCCCCAACCATCAAATTATTTTCGTTGCTACTTCATAACTGTAATTTTGCTACTGTTATGAATCGGGCGACCCCTGTGAAAGGGGCGTTCAACCCCCCAAGGGGTCGCAACCCACAGGTTGAGAACCACTGCACTAGATGGTTGAACCATCGGAAAACCTTCACACCCGTGGTGGTTGCTTCAATGCCAATGTCAATGTGATTGAAACCAAAAAGGGGAGACACTGCTTGGGAGAAGAGACCAGATGTTCTCGTACCTAGGTCATAGTGTGGTGGTGATTTCACCTTGGGCTAGGGTTGCATGGTCAGCGGTTTGAAACCTTCAAGAGACCAAGACTAGGCTTTCTACTCTAAACAGAACAAAAACGTTGCAGTCTGAAATGATTCACCACCCCAGAGCCGTGGCATGTCTAAGTGGATCAGAGGGCCCACTGGGGATTTGCTGAGGAGAGAGGGAAAGAGTCGAGGACTACACCGTCCTTACAGTGTAAGATTGCACTTGGACAGTGGTCAGAAAAGATTATCCATGGTTTTCCTTTGAACAGTACGTTTCATTTTTCATCGTTTTATGGGCATAGCCTTCACAGCATACCATTCAATAGTTCAGTCATATTAAAAAGAGTTGTATACTCCTCGCCACAATCAATTTTAGAGCATTTTCTTCTTTCTGTACTCATTGTTATTTGCTCCCATGTCCTCCCATCCTCCACTGGCAGACCCCCGAGAGACTGTTGATCCAGTTATTGTCTCCAGATATACCTCTACATGCAGAAAAACATAGCACCTCCCAATAAATAAACACTAGCAAAGTGAAACAGAAAACCTCAACAGAAAAGAAAGCAGGAAATATTAAACACTAGAACAAATTTAAAATAGGTAAAGGGAGCCCCGAGGATAGGTGTTGGGTTTTAAAGGAACTGCATTGGCAGTAATCCACTTGCCAATGCAGTCTGCAAAAATAGTACTTTAAAAAGTCAATGTAAAGTATCAAGGGTTCTTTGAAAGGCATTTTGTGGAGTCTTTTTGTTTTGGTTTAAATAAAAGGCACATGATCCTCTTTATCAAAAACCACTAGGATTTCTTTGAAGAGTTGAAAGACAGTTTAGCAGGTGAGAGGAAGTTGGGTTTTGTTGTTGTTGTTTTTTTAAGCCAGCAAACAGTCTGGTTTCGAGCAGAAGGATAAACCAAAGATAAATCATGCTGAGCCTAACTAAAGCAGTTCATTGGGGGAAGAATACTTGTAATTAGTGACTTGCTTTATTTCATGTGTAAATGGTCACTGGAAGTATAAATACAGATACCAGTCACTATGTGGACTAGTATTAACACATTAAGCTTTTCTTTCAATCACCAGGAAGTCAAGAGCATTCACCTGCCTGGAGCAGTTTAGTTCCTCCCAGTCCAGGACTGTAAGGAGTTATAATGATTATCAAGTGGTGAGTCACCAAACCAACTCAGTAGGCATGAACCCACATCGTTTTAATGAAATAGAATTTAAAATCCCACTGTGCACCTGAGATAACAAGGGTAAGTAATATGAAACTTTCCTTGAAGCTTCATTGAGGTTTTATGTACTTTTTATATGTGTGTACATGCATATAGCCCCTATCATACAGAGAGGTGTCCATTTAAGAGAGAGAGAGAAGTCATTTACATACAAATCTGTGAAGGTGTGTGCTGGGTCAGACTAAAAAGGCATTTCCTAACATGGGTCAGGAAAAAAAAATGTAATTGAAAGTCACTGGCTTGGGAAATCGAACCAGCTTTGTTGAATGCTAAGGCACTACAAAGGATAGTAAGGCATCATCTAGTTTCTAGTACAATTAGCGCACTTAATCAGCTTTTGTAAATGAAGAACCAGACCTGTACTACCTGAGTTTGCGTCACCTGGCTAGTAGCAGAAGTGGGGCTAGAATATGAGTTTCTTGCGTCTGTTTGTTATTCTTTCCCACTTCCATAGCAGTTAACACATGTACTCATTTAACTCCCCAAATAATGAGACTGAATTCAACTTCTGTGAACATTTCCTCCAGGCAAATGGTGTGGGAGATCAAGAAAACTATGCTGCCTGAAGTGCTTGCAAAAGACTGACACTGAATTCCCTCCCCTCCTCCAGCCCTCGCGAGTGGAGCGTTGACTTCGCTTTTAGACGCACACAGCTAGTTATAGCCCTGGCATGTGACAGAGCATTTCCCTATGCACCCTGGACTTAGGAATATATACCCAAATTAAAGGGCTTTAGTGTGACAAGAAAAAAGCCACTTTGAAATCCAGGAACGTATTAGCATAAATAACATTCCAGCTGAATTAGCGACTGAAAAATCCGTTTGAAAATGTTTTACTCATTTATATAGTCCTTCTCTCCCAAGCAGGATTCAGAACACAACTCTATTTCTATGTTTTGCAAAAGGAAGTGTGTCCCAGGTCCACGAATATACCTGAAGTGGGAAACTAGCCTTGGCCTCCTAGAAACCTAGAGTTGTAGATCGTGATTGTTCTGTTTGGTTCAGTCACTCTATTAAAGCATTTGGCAAGAGTCTCTTTGAACACCTAAGTGGCTAGCTTCCTAATTATGAACCTCACCAAGCCAATGTCAGTGAGCTGAGGGCTTCTTCCAAATGTGGCTCTTGAGTCATATGTGTGATATGTAATATGTAAGTCATATGTGTGATATGTAAAGATGTGTAATAATAATCGCAGCCACTCTTCATTATGATAACAATCTCTGGTGGCTAATGTAACAGAAATGGTCTGCAAGCTTTGCTGAAACTTATCCATCTCTGTTGACTCTGCTGGTATATGAACTACTGGTGGCGTGGCTTCCAGCATCATAGCAACATTCAAGTCACCACTGTATGACTTACTGAAGGGTGAGGATGGCGCAGGGGCAGGCAATGCTCCCTGCTGTTGTTCATCATGTCAAGCAGTACCTAACAGTGACAACACTCTGGTGAGGAAATGACCCACTAAATGGCTTTCATGCTTGGACACCGCCGGCTTTCCTCCACATAGTTAGGGTACGAGTTGAAGTTATTTGACCCTTCCAACTTCTGGAGGAAAACACATTGGGTGCCATGCATGCGACAAAGACCTTTCCAACAATACCAGCCAAACAGTTGCCACATATAGTTTGTCCTTTAGCCCTTCTTACTTGTCTCCTAGTGGACATAGATCTACAGAGCAGCCTCAAGCTGTGGGCCACTGTGAGAGAATTCGTACAACATGATGTGTGAACCTGTGCAAGGGTGTACGGCAGTCTGGTGGTACAGCGGTCCACTCAAGCCCACCCAGCGAGGTTCTGGGAGAGAAAGACCTGGTAAGCTGCTCCCATAGAGATTATACCCTAGACAGGTCTCCGGGACGGTTCGGCTGTGTTGTGTGGAGTTGCTACCAGTGAGATTCCAGTCCATGGTGGCACCCAACAGCCATTGTTCAAGAATCTCTCAAAACCAGTTGGTTTTAGAGCAATCGGCGAGACCCCATAGTTATTGTGCTTCCACTGTCATGGGGAACATCACGCTGTGACTTGCTTGAACGTTTGGCAAGATGGCAGTCCCTAAATTACTTTCATTTCATATTGAGTAAATACCTGAACAAATGCCTGGTATCGTGCCTAATGCCTCTCCCTAGGACCTCCCAGTGAGAGGGACAACAAGGATGGAAGCCTGGGGCGTTCGTTTTATCCCTAAAAGAACAGAGCAGAGAAACCCAGTCTCTCCAAGCTTTCCATTAGCAAGTCGTCACATCCCCCACTTGCACGCGGTCCCACGAAGCACATGCCTTTTTCAGATCACACTCACTGCCGTCAGGTGCATTCTGACTCACAGCACCGGTAGGACAGGCAAGACTGCCCCTGTGGGTTTCGGAGACCGTGACTCTTCAAGGGAGTAGAAAGCCCCATCTTCCGTGAGCAGGTAAAGCTAGACTCCCAGCCCTGCAAAGTGCAGCCGTACTGGGGGCAGGTCTCAAGTCCTGGGGCTTCATGGCATTTCCTGTACCATAGGGTTAGACTGGGTGTGACTCCACCACCATCACAGCTTCCTGGTGTGATGTGGTTGTAAGGTTTAAACAGGGTTAAATGCGCTGCATTTAACGGTGCCTGGGACACAGCAGATGGGCTTGGTGTTAA